ACCAGTGCTCAATTTTTGGTCGCATTGGTGACCAGTGAGTGGCAATTTCAAGCCCTGCAGTTGATATCAAATTTCAATGTCAGTTCTAAAAAGTTTACAAATTAATTTCAGTTTGTATATTCTTATAAATTAGTAAATAAATAAAATTGCACAGTTTAAACTAGGTATGCGAATCTCATTGTTATCATGGGTCATCCATTGTGATGTAGACAGTTATTAGGTGCAAATAACTCGGGTAATATGAGCATTCAAGACATACATTGTGTACTGTAAAGTTGCCTCTATGATCTGAAAAACAAAAGGCTTATCAATATTGTTAGTTATTAAAAATGCCCCCTGACTCCCACTTATATAAGCTATATGGGTGTGATATGTGTCGCCGTGAAGGGTATGGTTTTCAGCCAGGTGGTCCTAATTGGTCCTTGGCAACAAAGTGCGAGGGTGGAATGAAATTGAAACTTACAAAGTTTTAACTCCATTATTTTTATTTTTGATGAACAGAACTTGATCAGCTTCAAGAAAAATATGTTAATCAGGAAAAAGAACTTCAGAAGGCTAACAAGGTAGAGTGATTAACTTAGACTGCACTTATAAAGGACAAGAATTTTACACATCAATAACAGTGCTTTTACATAATTGTAATTCCAACTCCACTTGTCAGATCATGAATTAAATTATCCATTCATCAAATCAAACATTTACGTTCTCTTCTTCTGATGGAATCTAGTCGGCTGTATTGGACATGGATGCAAATGATGTACTGTACATGACAATCCTTGGTATTAGGGTGTGTAGATGCACCTGAACTAGTTGCATGCAAATAACAAATCCTGTTACCAGACTAAGCACAGAAACCCATTGTATCAGTTCTTCTTTTAACATAAACAGATGCCAACAACACATCAAACTTCCTTTTTGAACTTTTAACATGATTGTGCATATTTTTTCATTTGGACAGATTATAAACAAAAGCAAAAACAGAAAGGTATGTTTCTTATAGAATGTTATGTATACTAGTTTTTAAGGGGTGTTTATTTTTAAGTTCAGCAGTATCTACATAATGCAGTGTTCTGAGTTTTAACCATTTGAAGTAAATTATATGCGTAGTATATAGTTAACTTGAGAATGGCTCTGATCATAATTTAATGTTTCTTTGGAATACAGGAATATGCTGTTCTTTTGGAGGAAAATGAAAATTTGCAGAGACAATTTCAGGTGATTTATTTATTAATAATCTTATACACAATGACTTCTAATTAATGATGATCAACTTTGAAGAGGTATACACATATATGTATGGTAAAGAAACAATCATATTTTTGTATGATTCTCTTGGACATTCTTTCCTAGCAATCTGGCATATTCACGTCCTCTCAAACATTCTGGAGGTTGACTAGTCTGATGATGGAAATTGTTTGTCTTTAAATTTTAGGCACAAGAGGAAAATTTCAAATTACAAAACCAAACTCTTCTTGAGGAAATAAGCAAGGTAATGTGATTCCCTTGCTTTTGTTTGTTTGTTTGTTTGTTTGACAATTTGTCATTGGCCTTGGTCAGTCAGCCTTCAGTAAGTCAGTCAGCAGTCGGTTGGTCGGTCGGTCCTTTGTCAGTCAGTTAGTCATCCAGTCTTCAGTAAGTTAGTCACCAGTCTGATTGGTCAGCAGTCACTCAGTCCATCTGTCTACCCATCTATCTATTTCTCCCTCTGTCCAACGTCGGTCAGTCAATCAGTCAGTCAGTCATTCCATCAGAACACCAGCCTATCATGCTGCCACTCCACAAGTCCACCGGTCCGCCAATCTGCCGGTCTGTCAGTGTGGCTGGCTAGCTGGCATTCAGCGCAGCAGTCTGTCAATCAGTCAGTCAGTCAGTCAGTCAGTCAGTCAGTAACTTTTACTTGTTACAGAATAAGTACCGGTAGATGAAGACATAGTCTTTATTTTGTCATAATCACTAATTTACATTACTTTTTTTGAAATGGCATTTAGCTGAATGATGATAATGAAAAACTTCAGAGGCAAGTAACTGCAAAAGAAGGTGGCCATGATTTAGGAGCTGATACAGAAATAAGAAGACTTCGAGCTGAAAATGCTGCTCTTCAAAAAAGTTTAACAAGTAAGTACATCTTGTAATCTGATCTGTAAATTCCGATTTTTTTACGTTTAGGAAGACAGTCTCATTTTAGCTGTAAGTTGTATTATCTCGGTAAAGTTCTATGTTTTTGCTCAAGCCATTCGATCAGCTGAGTTACCTGTATGTAATGTAACATAACGTAATGTAACATAAGGTATGGTAGCATAGCATAACGTAATGCTACCTGACATAACACAACGTAACATAGAATTATTATGTTCCAAGCTACTTCTGCAAAATTTCAGATTCTCAACAGAGGCATGAAGAAGAACTATTACAGCTGCAAGAAAAGCTTCAGTCTTTGTCTGACGGACATGGTGACAGCTATCAGTCAGAGTTACAAAGTGATGGTACTCCTGATAATGCGGATTTTTCCAAGAATGGAGAAAAGCAAGATTCTGACAGTGGTCAAACGCTTGACAAAAGTGAGCAGTTAGAGACATCAAAAGAGAAACTACGTGAAATTTTAAACAGGGAATTGTCAGTATTTTGTGAGAAAATGTGCAGTAGTAGAACTGGTGATGTTTCTAAGGAACAAGAAACAAATGAGAGACATGAAGTGGCAGAAGGCTTTGAGGGAAATGCAGAACATGAGGATAACACTGAAACAGACAGCAAAGAATCTACTGCTAATCACAAATCAGGCAATGAAACAATTGCAGAAGAAATAGATAATATGAAGAGAAAACTCACTGATGATTTGATTGGTGTTCTTTGTTCAAATGAAGGTAAGATCTATTCTTTATTCCAAATTATGGCCACCTCTTTGATATTAAGACACCCTTATATTACCAATACAGACAGTTCACTTGGTTTCAGAGAAACCTGGATTATCTTTAGTCTGTATTATACAGGTTTGACTGTATTAAGGAGGCTGGCAACAGTTTCCAGCACTTTTCCAACAGCTATTTTTTTAAAGGATAAATACTACCACTGTTTAACAAGTAATGCTACAATACTAGTATGGCTCAAATGCCTAATCATTGGTAAACAAGTTGCAATCATCCTTTTTTTATATAACAGGTTACCATGGCAACACTGCAACTTATTAACATCCTTAGTTTTAGCTTTAAGCGCTTATATCTCAAAAACAAGTGCGGTGACCCCCTTTTTTGTTATCAATTTGTGATAAGCATGATAAGATGCAACTTTTTACAAAGTTTAAAAAAATATGCAGAGAAGGTTGAAAGCCACCTTAAATTTTCGAAAATTTTCAAGTCGGACAGAATGACGTCACATAAACACGGTCTGGTTTCCAAGACAGTTTCAAAATGGTGGCCTCCGAAGTCGATCTTTCAAGACGAGTTTCTTCAGGATAGCAGGCACTTCAGAGGCTGAAACTTTGGCGAGTGGAAAAGCTGAATGCTTACTTGCTATAGGTGAAGATTAAAAAAGTTAGCTTTCTGGAGTGACCTGCTTCTTTAAAGTGGCACTGCTTATCACAAATCAATGGGGGTCACTGTGATAGATTTTGAGATAAATGCGCATAAAGCTAAAATCGAGGTTGTTTTTAGCATGTCATGCTGTTGCTATGGTAATTTATCGTGCCATGAAATTGACACCAACATGTTCATCAATGATTGGGTATTTTGTAGATACCATGATTATGGCTTCAACTGATAAAGAGTGGTTATAATGAGCATCTACGTCTTGGAAAGTTCTGGAAACTGTTTTGAGCCACGTTAATAGCCGTTTTGTTGGATTTTGATTTTAATTGCCTATACAAGTACATCACTACAGAGAAGGCTCAAGCTTGAAAAAAAAAAGGATTAGTTTTTAAAAATATAAATGTTGACTTCATGTTTGACTTCATTCATGGACAGATGTGCTAAATAGAACATCATTAGTACGGAGCCCGCCAAGAGAACGCCGTCAAGAGGTCAGTTTTTAAGCGCAATTCATTACGTAATTTAATGTTTGTTACAGTATATGTTCATTTTCAAGTGAAATCCGGCTATTGACCAGTACCTTTATTAACAATTCGTGCTTTAGCGTTCATCTTGGGGTTTGTGATACAGACGGGAAGTGTATAGAGCACGTAAGAAGCGTAAAGAATTCGACACACACTATGGGCCATGTTGTGGAGACGTGAAGCGAATACAGGCCCCTTCTTGCGTATATGGGACGCTTGTTGCAGGGAGTGTAAGCAAGCTGGTGCACACAAAGCAGATTGAGGCATAAGAATGTGTTGTAATGGAGACAGTTTGCAGGAGCAATGCACACGATGCGACATTGAAAATTCAAGTCCTTTTGTCCCTGCTCCATGACACACTAATTCAAAGGAGCTGAATTTCATGCGAAATGTTGCGAGGGAAAAAAGTTTGTTTCTGGAACAGAACTTTATTAGCAAAAACATGCATCTCACACGTCGAGAAAAACTGTTGCTACAACATGTCCCAACCTCATGACCCCACAACATATCCTCTGGTGTGTGCCAATCTTATACACTTGGTTTAACTTATGGAGTGCTCTCCAAACTTTCCAAGTGCATCATAATTCGATAATGGACGACCCAAAGCGGCATCAATCAATGATTTGTATATTATTTTATAATGTTGCCAATCGAAATGGCGAAGGGAGAGTATTTACTTTGTTCACGCTATGAGCGCGCACCCTTGGACTGTGATGATGGCTTACGGTTGTTATATTTGATAGCATAGCTTTGCTAACTATTGTGTAAAGCCGTATATACATAGGTGTCCCCGATGGCTTCGTACATGGACAGTCAGCTAGTATTCAATTTCGATGCAAATAAGATTGATTGGCTGTTTGATTGGTTGATTGATTGATTGAATTTTAGGTTGAAATTAGAAGTGTGACTCTGGAGAAACAAGTTAAGGAAATGGCAGGGCTCCAGCTACAACTTGACACAGAACGGGAGGAGAAGAGGCTCCTTCAAGAACAGCTACAAAAAGCCGAGGTGAATAATATAAGAAAATATCTGTGCAACTTGTTGGTCACTCGTTCAGCTTATTGTCAGGGTGTACATGCAAGTAATCATCAAAATAATGTCCAGGTCCCATGAAAATCATTTTTATAGTTCACCACTAAATTTTCTCCGATTGTTATTGGTTTAAATTGATGACGTGACGCGATAGCGTTCATCGGCGGAGAGAAACCCACTGCCCATAGTTGGATGGTACTCGAACAAGAAAATTTTCTGTAAACAAGCGGGCTTATTGGAAAAACAAACAAACGAACAAACAAATGAAAGACGCAATTTTTCTGTTTTCTTTTTTTTCAAATTTTACATTCGACTTTCACGCCTTTCATCTAAAAAAGTTGAAAATATTCAATATGATTTGTTAACTGGGGCGCGGAAGAAAATTTAGTGGCGAACAATAAAGACAATGGAGTGTTTATGTCTCGAAACTATCGGTTTGATAGCTGTGCATTGGAAATTTGATGTTCTTAAAACTTTGTTTTAAGAACATCAAATGTCCGCGGGGCAAAGTCTATCAGCCGATATTTCCTCGACAGAAACACTCTATTGTTTAAATAAGACTACCCAAACTTCACGTGCACACAACGTGACCACTTGGTGAAATCGCAATCCCAGTCCCCTGAGCAGCCAAAATGTTTTCACTGTCAAAAAATAATTTACCGCGAGAAAGCAAATGGATTCTCTTCTTGCCCTGCAGTGCTGAAGTGCTTGACATCTCTGAATTCCATGTAAAGCTTTCAGAGTGACATTAATTAATGATGCTTATAAAACGCCTATTGATTTTCTTGTAGACATCAAGCAAACTCGAAATTACAAGGCTCGAACAAGAACTGGCCAAAGTAGGTGTTCAATATACATTATTATAAAATAAATGAGATACTACGTGCGCTCTCATTGGTCGATAGGTTTTTAATAAACATTATTATAAAATAACTGAGATACTACGCACGCTGTCATTGGTCGATAGGTGTGTTAAGATGAGAGTAAGTAAACAGGTTTGTGACGTTTCATATTCGCGCGTTTTTTGGGGGGAAACATTTTTTAAACGCAATAGACTACTTATTTCCGTGTTTACATAGCCTCATCTAAACACTTGGGGAACTGAGAGAATTCTGGAAAGTTATGCAAATCCTCGACTGCGTCTGGGGTTTGCATAACTGTCTCGAATTCTCCGAATCCCTTCGTGTTTAGATGAGGTATGTAAACACGAAAAAAAGTGCTCTATTGCTTAACTATATACACACTCAATGATCTCTATCTCGGGCTAATTACAATGTAATAATTATTCACGAACTGCGCATTAGATATGAGATGGTAGATAACCTATGAGGCAGTAGCATCGATTTTTTATTTTTTGTTTATTATTTACCTCCCCAAAATAAAAAAAAACGAAAACAGAATAAAAATAAAAACGTCACAAAAAGGTATGCGGCACTCACCATGTTAATGGAGCATTGTGTAATGGTTCTTATACTTTGATGGTGATTCAATGATCCAGTCTTTAATAATCGACTTTATAAACCTCCTACTGAGTGGGTATTGCGGGAA